CAGTTAGTAAGTGTCAAGTGTTTGAGGCTGGATTTGAACTCAGGTCCTCTTGACTCCAAGGCTAGAACTTCATTCACCATGCACCTAGCTGCCCCTGAGAATTATTTTTTTTTTAAAAGCAGTAAATGGTTTAGGTGGATCTAGTGCTGTATACTGCCTTCTAAGTTGCAGGAGTTTTCTTTTTGTCTTTTTAAATCTATTAGGGGAATATCACTCAAAGAGAGATATCCAGTGTTTGGGGAAAAAATTCCATCCCTCTTATCTGGGTCTCTTGTCTGCCTTCTAATTTGGCCTGCAAAGACAGAGGGAGATTCTTTCTTATGTAAAAGTTTTCTTTTTGTCTTGCCCTTTGGGCTGATAAGTCCCCAGGAAAGAGCTGGTTTGACTTTCAAACAGTCACAGAGACTAACACAGCACTGACAACAAGGGGGTGGCTATTCAGTGGGAGGAAGGGAAACACAGACACAGAGAAATGGGGCTCCTAAAAATATTCTTTTTCAGGCCAATAGTGGGATTTAAATTAATTTGCTCGATGTTTTAGTTATGTCTCCCCCTCAGTCCCAATTAGGAGACTAGGCTCGCTTAACTCTCTGGGCTCTGAAGAGTGTTGATGGTGGGCACCCTGGGCCCATTCCCCAACTAGGAAGATCCTCAACTTTTTAGGCCCTAAAGAGCTTGGAAATGGTGCACACTCTTTGATTACTCCCCAATCTTTGATTGGGGGTCTTCCTTGAGGAAAAAAATCCTTCAAGGGATTGTCCCCAGGGGATTTACTGGGCTTTATATTGCCAATTATTTCCAATTTGTCTCACTGAATACAAGACAGCACCCTAAGACACACCTTAGTGGGGTGTCTATCTCATAGCTCAAAGAAGATGTTTGAGGGGTTCGAGGGGAAAGGCTGGTCTTAACCTGGCTCTCCTCCCTTCAGGTGGAAAATTCCATGAGGGTTACTCAGAAGAAAAAAGAGGGATTCTTCCAAGCAAGTTTGAGGAACGAGGCTCCTTCCCCTGATCTTGGTGGGACCTTCAAAACTGTGGTGAGTAAAAGCAATAAAGATAAACTGAGTTACAGACTCTGAGCATAATCAGTTTATTAATGGTGAGGTATATAATTGTTAACAAAGCAGGTCAGACTGGTCACCTCAGTAAGGCCAGCTTCCTCAATGAGAAGAAGGTGGGGCTCTTTATTTATTTATTTATTTATTTTTAGTGAGACGATTTGGGTTAAGTAACTTGCCCAGAGTCACACAGCTAGTGAGTGTTATGTGTCTGAGGCTGGATTTGAACTCAGGTACTCCTGACTTCAGGGATGGTGCTCTATCCACTGCGCCAGCTAGGTATCCCTGGGGCTAGTTTTAGATTATTACAATTGGTTACATCTAGGAAAGTGGGTTGGTATTCAGGTATGGCTAATCACACCCTTCTCTGACAATTAAAGAATGTTAATTGTTTTATGGGACTCATCTGCCTCTTGTAATTGTGGCCAGGAAGTCAGTACCACCAGGTTTGCCATCTTTTTGGGGGAAAGCAAATCCCTCCCCCTTACTCCCCCCCCCCCCAATTGCACAGGAGCAGGCAAGGACAGACAACATGTCTTTTGGGGAATGGCACCAGGTAAACCTGATTGGGGATTACAGACAACAATTTTTAAAATGTTCCTCTGGGGCTAATGGCATAAGTGATAACAACATTCCCTCTCAACCACCCCTTAGTGGAACTGGACATAGAAATGGGCTATTGGACTCTCCAGTACTAGTGGGAACAGACTAGGTGCCAATGGAGATTTATTTCTCTGGGGTCAACTGCACACCTTGGTAACTGTGTGCCTCTGCCAAACTGGTTAAAATTAGAATTGTAATTGCACTCTTTGTTTGTGTCTTTTTGTATTTGCCTTGTCACTTTGTCTGTGTGTCTTTGTGAAATGTAAAATATCTGTGTTGTGTTTGTTGTGAACTAGGTTCTATTATCTTGAAAGATTTAAAATGCAGCCAGCCAGAAATACTACTAAGGACTGTAGCCTGAGAGTTCAGAATACTGGGAAAGATTAATGAATTTTCATACTTGAAGCAATTATCCCAGGAAGCAGGCCTAACTCCCACTTTAGGCTTTCCAAGGGAGATTAGGTAAAAAGAAAAAAGATCAGATGATCAAAGTTTGTAGAACTGCAAAAAACATCTTAGCAAATTGGAGATTAATCATTAAGGAGTTTGAAGATTTATCATTTTTAAGATTGCAGGGGAGAACTCCTGAAATATCTTAGTAAGTTTTGAGGTACCACTCTGTAGAATTTGTTTTAAGGAAGAATAAGAATTAAATTCTAAAAGTGTTTTTTTTTTTTTTTTTTTTAGTGAGGCAATTGGGGTTAAGTGACATGCCCAGAGTCACACAACTAGCAAGTGTTTGGTCTGAGGCTGGATTTGAACTCAGGTACTCTGACTTCAGGGCCGGTGCTCTATCCACTGCGCCACCTACCTGCCCCTAAATTCTAAAAGTTTTAAAAGTAAATGACAAGATTAATAGCTTCATTGTTCTAGGGCTATGAAGAAAGGCAGCTAGTTTGAAAGTAATCCCAGAGTGAAGAAAGAAAAAAAGATAGGTATACAGTTTGCACTTTATAGCAACCTCTTGTTAACCCTTTCTTGAATGATTATTTAAACCAGAGGTCTCCTGTGACTCCCTCAGTTTAGAGATTCCCTCCCTTTTCCTCTCCCTGTTAACTCCTCTCATCTCAGATCAGATTCCCAAATACAGGTGCTGAAAAAAAAAAATGCTTGAAAAATGTAGGGAAATTTGAATTACATTCCGGTTGCAGAAATTTATTAGCTATGTAATTTTTAGGCAAATTACCTCTATTTGCCCCAGTTTCCTGATCTGTAAAGAGAAAAATAATAATGGTACCCACCTCCCAGGGTTGTTGTGAAGATCAAAATAATATAATGATTGTAAAGTGCTTAACACAGTGACTGGCATATGCTGAGCACAGTATTATTATTATTTCTTTAATTGAATGTAATTGTTCCATATCTGATAACTCTAAAGTGGTTTTAAAATGCCAAAAATAAAAAAAATTAATGATTTTTATATGTGATAATTTGGAAATGCAACTGATGTCATCTGAAGTTTATTGTTTATGTTATTATTGTATTTCTAAATTCTCATATATTGTGAAATTTGAGAGACCATTGTAACAGAAATGCTGTTAGATAAAACAGCTTTTTAATCTGGATGCTATTACACATGAATTGGGCTTTTAAAAGGATGTGACTAAAATCGATATTTGAAAACTCAAATATTTAATGAAGTATATTTTGTTATAAAGCACATAATAATAAGTTTCATGTAATAGCATTCAAATTTCATTTGAAATTTTTGGCTATTATGAAAGTGTATATGGTGGTTTAAAGAGGTAGCTTCAAGATATTAATGATGAGTCAGCTATCAGGTATTTGCTGTCTGCTGAAGCCCCAGAATATGGGTAGTTTTAATTCATAAATAAAGGATAAATGAAATGTTAACTGTTAGGGAAACATCAGGGAAGATATTCAAGCCCTAAATTGTGGTTAGTGAAAATTTTGTATTTAAGATAAAAATTCCTGGGATTGTAATTCACTATTATTTTGAGCTTTGATTACAGAGATCATTATCAGAATTGTCATGAAGCCAATCATAGTAAATGGCATGTGCTATAGTCTGGGAACTGCTAAAGGTGGATGACTGTATCTGGGAAAAGTTTTGGTATGAGGCACCACTTAAGTACATCCTCCTGATTTTATTTCCCCATTGTGCTAGTTCCTTTCTGAAAAGGAAAATTCCCACCTGGTTAATCTTGAGCCTTGCTTTTAATATGACTCACTGTAAGATATGACTTATGCCTGGAATTGAACAGAGCTAAGGGAGTTTTTCCTTCTGTTATGATAAATAACATTGTTATAACTATATCCCTCTTTTTCCTTTTATAGCAAATATCTATAATCAAGAAGTTTTGTAAGTACAATACTAAATCTATTAAATAATAGATTGATACTGGAACATCTCTGACTTACTATTTAACCTATATTTGTGGTCAAATTATAATATAGGAATGATATCCTCCTAAGAGGGAATGATTAAACAAAGTAATAAGACAAAGATGTAATATGAAAGTTTTTTTTTGTTTTTTTTTTTTTAAGGCAATTGGGGCTAAGTGACTTGCCCAGGGTCACACAGCTAGTAAGTGTCAAGTGTTTAGTCTGAGGCCAGATTTGAACTCAGGTCCTGCGCTCTATCCACTGTGCCACCTGGCTGCCCCAAAAGTTTTCTAATTAAA